GGGGGGGGGGGGGGGGGGGGGGGGGGGGGGGGGGGGGAGGGGAGGGCTGCAGGATCTCTGTGCAGGATCTCACCCCAGGGAGAAGGGGTGAGGGTGCAGACCATCCCTCCTCAGTGGTGGCGAAGCACTGCCCAGCCATAACACACAGGACTTTGCAGCCATCCCCAAGCCAAACCTCCCCCAGCTCGGGCACTGCAGGGAGTGCTGGGTGCCAGGTGCCAGGGTAAGCGTTGTACCCTGACGCTGCTGTTTAAAGCTCTGCTTTATTCCTCTTTTTCTGCCCATTCTCTTTCCCTGCCACTGCAGTGGGGCTCCTCGCTGGCTGATCACCTCCCACCTTTTGGTGAGTTCCCCCAAGTCCTCTGTGGAACTGCAGCTTTTCTGTAGGTCTCCTTTTGGTGCCATCATGTGACTCTGACTCCCGTGTTCAGTGATGTCACATGGCCCCTCTTGCCTCTCTTAAGGGGCATAAAGGTCCAAATTGAGCACCCAGTGTCCTAAAACAATTCACTCTCCTCCGGAGTGGGGATAAGCCGGCTGTGAGCCCAACCACCCTTCGGGTCCGTGCTTCACTTGCCAGCCCTGGTGTCACCTGAGCCAGGTGGCAGTGAAGGCACTCAGTTCACTGACCTCCCTTCATTGATGAGCTCTGTCTTTGACTCCTTTTTTTTTCCACCTATAAATAATTCTTCTTGTACCATCCAACATGGAAGTACCAATTTTGGTGCCCAGGCAGTCAGATGCCACTGACCTGTAGTATGTCACCAGTGTGAGGATGGGGACAGGCCCAGGACAGGCTCAGCCCAGGCTGCAGAGCCATGTGGAGCCATGCTGCATCCAAGTCTGCTCTGCTCAACGTTGCTGCAGCCCCACGAGGAGGGGAAACCTTCATCCCAAAGCCTGGGTGATTTTCAGTTCCAGGGGTTGCCCTGTCCTTCTAGGTCCCCAAAGGGCAAGGGCTCCAAAAGGGCCCATGACAAGAAAAGGGTTTGATCAACACAACTCAGATGAGTACCTTTGCTGCCAGCCCCAGGGACACAATGCCCACTGGCTCTCTGCTCTGATCTGCACATCTCCTTGTCCCCAGAGAACCATCCTCCTCCTTCCCACTAGAAGTTCAGATGCCCTTTCAGGGTAGAAAACACTCTGTCTTCTCCAACACATTAAGATTTGGGGGTTAGAAAACCAACACCTGAACTTTTCCAGCCTCTACTCCATTTTTCTTGCACTCTCTAGTAGTTTTCCTGCCACCACTGCCAAACACCAGCATGATTTGGCTATTTGTAGGGAAGCTGAAACCCCTGCCCCAGGAACCCAGTTTTCTCCCCAGCTGAGATGTGGTTTGGTTCCAGCCACTGCCAGCCCTGGCTCCAATTTCTCCCCATTCCTCAAGATGGAGCTTGACTTTTGCAAGTGAGCTGCTGGCAGAGATGGGACACTGGAGGGACAAGCCATCAGGAGTGCAGAAGGAAGAGAAATGTAACCCTCGGCTCTGCCTTCTCATGCGTGGGGCAAGGAAACTCCAATATTTCATCAGGGATGTTTTACTCCACCAAATGCAATGAAAGGGCTCGTGTGGCAGCCAAAGCAGAGGTGCTCTCCTGCCCTCCCCATGCCAGTCTGGGCTCCAGCAGGATCCTGGGGACACACCACCAGGTCTCTCCTCTGCAGGAGGCTGCAGGGAGAGGAGGCTGCCAAGCCTGGCCTCTGCTGGGATGTTTGACCCTGGCAGGAGCATCATTCCCATCCTGTTTGCAGAGCATCCCTCTGGCAGGGCTGAGCATCAGCCCCTTCAGCTGAGAGCTAATACTACCCCTCCTACCAACACATACCTACACATCCTACCCCCTCCAGCCAGCTTTGAGGAGCTCTGGCTTTGCCCAGCTCAGCGTTGATGAGCACAGAGGGCAGCCCCCTGAAGTGCCAAATAAAAGATTTCGGTCCCAGAGGAGATGGGGGCTTGGGAGTATCAAGTCTCCCAGGGCTGCTGGTGATTTTTCAGGGCTTTCAAATGGTTTGAAGAGCACAATGGCATCTCTCTGCCTGGTGCTGGGCCCTGAACTGGGAGATGGACAGACCTGGACAGACCCTGAAGCTGCTCAGAGCTCTAGCCTAGGCTCTTGCCAAGACAGTGGGGTTTGCCCCTGGGCAGGGGGAGTCTCCCAAGGCTGGGCAGGATTTTGGCAGTGACTGTTGTGGTGCAGTGGCTCCCTGTGGGGAGCCCTGGGCCTGCCTGGAATGCTGCACCGGCTGTATGGGAAGAATGGAGGACCTGTAACTCCTGCGTGCTCAGAAAGCAAAGCATCCTTCTCATTCTGCCCCTGCCCAGCCTAGGCACCAGTGCCCAGAGCAGCCGAGGGGGTTGCTCTTGGATGCCTTCACCTCCTCCAGAGCTCAGCCATGAAATCTGGGCCAGGGGACAAGGCTGTGAAGAAGAGCACTTGCTGCTCTGGGCTTCCTGAGCCCACAGCTGGCAGAGGAGAGTGGGGCGGTGGGGTGCCCTGTACCCCCATCACCCCCGGGGGAGCGCAGGTCTCCTCGGGCAGTGAGGACGGAGCAGCCCCGGGAGCTCCAGCATCTCCTCTCCTGCACCACTCCTTCCCCGCCCGGCGGGACTCGGCTCCCGGTGCGCGGGAAGCGATGAGGTCATGGTGCTTAATATAGCGATTTCATCACAGCCCTTCTCCCCAGCAACACGGCCCGGCTCCCGCCGCCCCCCGGCCGGCAGCGCCCGGGATGCGGTGGGATGTGGGGCCGGCCCGGGGCTGTGCGGGGCCGCCCGTGCCTGGTGTCACAGTGCCGCCCTCTGGGCACGGCGGCCGGACGATGGGGATGCTCGACGCAGCCCCCCCACCCCCCAAGTACCCAGATCTGAGCGGCACACTGGATCCATCGCGTGTCCCTCCTCCTCTTCCCCCCCTCGCCGCCCCGTGCCATCCTATCCCAGCCGTGGATTTAGAAGCAGGGGTGGGGAAGATGGGTTTTTTTCCCTCCTCCCCACCCTGTTCATGCCCCAAAGTCCCGCAAACCGCTTCCCGTTCTCCTAAATAATAAGCTTTTCCTTTCCTCTTTCTTTTTCCCTATTGCACCCACAAGAGGCTTTCTGACCGCCCTGATCCTCAGATACAAACCCTAGAGATCTGAAAAAAAAAAACCCCAACAGTATTTTTCTCCCTAAAAAATAATAGAGCTCCTAGTGAAGTGCCCCAGCCCTGCACCTGCACCCTCCTGGCTGCATCATGCGGGGTACTGGGGGAGTCAAGAGGGGTCCACATAGAGGCAGGGCCTCACAGAGCTGGGATTAGGGCCGTAATGATGTTGGAGCCATAACCCCTCCCTGCTGTGCCAGGGCAGCATCACCTCCACAGCCCCCTTCCCTCCTGGAATATAGGGAAAGATGTGGCTCTGGGACTTACCTGTCAGCAGAGCCTGCTTCAGCTCAGCATCCCCCAGGGCACCGGGGCCGGGTCTGTAGAGCACCTCACTGTCGAGACCTGGGGGACAGGCAGGAGAGAGGGGTTAATGCTGAGCTCCATATCCTCCTTTCCAACATAATGGAAGCAGGCAGGGACCGAGAACGCCAAGTTCCCACTCTGCGTGGGTACTGGGGTGAGTGGGCAGAGGTTTGGCTCTGGTGATGCTCTCGGGGCCTCTCTGAGCACTCTCGGGGCCTCTCTGAGCACGGCAGAGCCGGTGGCTGCACGTGTGCCCCCGTGTGTGCCCTGCAGAGGGATGGGCAACCCGGGTCTCCGTACCTTGTTTTTCCAGCGCCTCGATGAGCCTGGCCACGGTCGGCAGCGCCTGCTCGGGGAGGGTGGGATGCTCGGCGAGCTCTGCCTGCCCAGGGAGCCCTGTGATGGAAAGAAGGGGAGAAAAGGTTTGGAAATTCCTGCCTGCAGGAATTCCAGTCTCTTTTCTCAGCTGCCCCGTGATAGGATCAAGCTGCTGCTTTGGCAGAGCCACAGCCAATACTTTGGCTCAGGCCTGTCCAATTTTGGAGCACTTCTCCCTTATTTTATCCTCTTTTTGCAGTAAGAGTCACTGTTGGGGGCTCAGCTGCTTGCTGAGATGCAAAGACATGCTCGGGCACATGCCCTGCCTGTGGGGAACATCCCGTCCTGGGCATGGAGACCCTTCAGGCCAAAACCCCTTCCCCACCTCTCCTCCTATGGCGCCGAGACTGCCCCCTCTCATCATCCACAGCCCACAGTGACACCAGGCAGGAGCTGGGAACCAGATCCATACCCACCACCGACATGGCTCTCTGCAGCTCTCACCCACTTGGATTCTCTGGTGTCTGTGAAAGGATTGAGCACAGGCCCTGGCAGGACTCAGTCCTTGGTTGGCAGAGACCTCCCTCAGCCCTTGAAGAGCCCTTTGGCCAAACATGGGTCAGGCTTCCCACGGCACAAATCCCCATCTACCGCTGACTCCTGGGTTTTATACCAAGGACACCTCACCCTAGACCATGACAGAGAGGAGCAAACCCCTCAGGAGGCAGGAGACCAGCTGTCCTTACCCCAGTGCATGTTGTATCCACCTTTTTACCCCAGCTGATGAACCCTTCCTGTGCGGGTTATACCTGAGGGAGACTCCAGCAGTGCAGTTCTGGGATTTCTCCCCATTCTTTCTCTTTAGTGGCCTTTAAAGCCCCAGAAAGGCAGTGGGCAGGGGCCTGGCAGGGGCAGGGACTGCCACTGGCTGCAGCACATCAGAGTCCTGTGCGACTGCTGCAGTACAGACACATACATGTGGAAATGCTGGGGAAAAAAAAAAAAAGGGACTTTGGGGAGGGCCACACTGCCTTCAGTCTTTTGCAAAAACACAACCTGGCCACAACAGGTGGATCCAGGCTCTGATCCTCACTGCAGTGATGTCCTGGTGCTCCCTGGAGAACAGGGAGGGATGCAAACCTCCCGCTCGTGGGTGGCTGATCCAGTCCCCAGGCACGGCTGCAGCCCCAAAGCCCAGCAAGGGGGTCTCCTCTGCTGCCCAACGGGGATGTGTGGGTGCCTTGGGTGGGAACCGGGAAGATTTCAGGGTTTAAAGCAAAGCACATTGTTGGGAGCTCATGTAAAAATGTCACCACCGCATGAGTGGTTTTGTAATTAGGGAAAACTGGGCTTTTCCTCCAAACCAATGGCTTAGGGGTAAGGTGGTGACTGCAGAAAAATAAATGTCTGTTCCTCCTTGCTGGGAACAACAGGAACGGCCCCAAGCTGTGCCAAGCTGGACCCCAGCATCCTAACATTCTGCTCAGCTTCAGCCCCAGGTGAAGTGGAGGTGATCCCTCTTGGCAGTGGGACCACCAGGCACAACTAGTCAGGGGCAAAACAGCCACTGAGCTCCTGGGAAATCCCCTGGGACTCGGATCTGCTGCAGAGTCATCTTCAGGATGTTATTTAATTAAAAAAATAAGACCATTTCTCCCTGCAGAGTCAGCCCTGACTGGAAGGCACGGTTGGGACATGCAGTGTCTCTCTGTCATTCAGGGCTTCCCCCATGGTTTCAGTCAGCTCAGGGTCCCTGTGTGGTGCCAGGGCTCGGTGGGCACTGAGGGCACTCTGGGTGGTGTGCTGCTGTTGCAGAAAAATAAATTAGGGCTGGCCAAAAAAAAAATATCCCTCAAACCTCCATCTGGGAATGGGAACAGTATGGCAAGAATTAAAAAAAAAAAAAAAAAGAAAAAGAAAACCAAAAGCACCTTCTCTTTCAAAAGGATTTTGGAGATTTTTACTCTAAGGGAATTCTCGCCAGCCAGGAGGTTTGGGTTTAAACTGACGTAAAATGGCACACACTGCTCCCCTGCTGCAAAAAGATGTGGTTGTGAGACACAAATCTCCCCTGCTGAGGTGCCTGCACACCCTGGTATTGGCCCAGGAAAGGCAGAGGGGCATCCCACAGCACAGCACCGAGGAGGCGGCACCCAACATGCCCCTGGACAGCAGGGCTGGACAGCTGGCCATGGCCAGAGCACATCCTGCAGACAGCAGCACTCTCCACAACCTACCCCCAAAACCTGCTCTTAGGGATTTTTTTTTCCCTCTATTAAAAAATATGAATTTTACATTTTTAAAAATGTTGTTATCCCCTTGCCCAAGCACATGCATGGCTGGTGCTCCTGCACTGAGACCTCCAGCATGGGCCAGGCTCTCCAGGCAGATGAGTCTCCTTGACTTGTGGGGCATCACCACATCCCCAGCACCTGCGGGCAGGGGTCCCGGGCACATGTCCCAGCCCCTTGGAGAGGAGCCCATGCCAACCCCTGTGTGAGGCAGGCACAGGGCAATGGTGGTGGGCAGCAAGGGCAGAAGCAAGAAGGTGACTTCATACTTCTCCCTGATGAATGAGGCTGGAGACTCCCAGGTCTGCTCCTGTCTGACCCAAGCTGTCAGCACTGAGTTTGCCAGGGCTCAGCCAGCTGAACAGCCAGGGCAGAGGGCTCCTCACACAACACCGGGCTTGACTGGGAAGGAGGCTCAAAACCCCCATCCGGCAGGGCAAGCCCCCCCAAAAAGTGGCCTCCATCCTCCTGCAAAGCCAGCATGTAGCTGCTCTTGGAGCCTCACCCGTGCTGGTGGGACTGTGGCCGCCTTGGTGCACTCAGAGCACTGGTCAGGGAGGAGCACCTGCACTTTTGGGAGGGGAGGCAGAGGGGGGCCCAGCGTCCTTTTCAAGTGGTTGGGGGGGCTCCGCATCAGGAACTGCCTGGCAACCTCACACATGGACACGGATGATGCAGTGCTCATCTCAGGAGCCAGGTGGTCCCCACCTCTTAAATCATGGTGGCAAGGTGGTCCTGAACCATATTTTGAAGAGAGATGGACTCCTCATCAGTGGACGCCCCTCTAAATCTGGGACCAAAGTACCTCCAATGCCCAGCCAGCTCAGAGGGGAAGCAGGTTCTCTGGTTACCACACCTCTGCCGTGGTCCCAGACTGGGCAGGGAGGGTGCCCAGAGTGCTAGATCAGCAACTGGGCAGTTTTTGAGCAGTCACAGGTGAAGGTGATGCCCCTCTCCCAGCCCAGGCCCACACAGACAGCCATTTCTCCTCTGTCACATCCTGGAGCAGGAGAGCACCATGGCTTTGGGGTTGCCAGGACGTGCCTGGCTGGAAGGGGGGATTCTTACTTGGCTTTTTTTTCTTTTTTGGCTTGTGTACATTATGTAACTGCTGTGAAACCCCTCCTGGCCCCAAAGCCCTTGGCCATGGTGAGTGGTGAGGGCAGAGCTGGCTGCACGAGTTCGGCAGAGAAGTGGCCGGAGGCCTCTGTGCCAGGAAGGGTCTTCCTGAATATTCCTCCCAGTGCTGCAGCCCCCAGGGATAGAGGAGCCCCCCAGGGACCAATTCCACTGCCTGCCAAGATTGTTCCCTGTCCCAGCCTGCACAAAGTGACAATGAAGTCGGGAGCTGGCCAAGGGCCAGAGCTTGCCAGGGCACTGAGAGCAGCCTGAATCAGGTGCCGCAGTGGTGGGGAGAAAAGCAGTTGGAAAAAAAGTCTCTGGGGGACCACCATGGGGCTTTCTGATCCTCTCTGGGGGCCCAAAGGGCTCCTCCATCTTCTCCTGTCCTCTCACAGACGTGGATCCCCTTGGACACCCCATGCCAGCACAGCAGCCAGCCAGGGATGAGGAGCAATCCCTGCAGCATGTTTGCCTGGGGGGTAGCGACACTCGAGGCACCCCCTGCCTCCCCTGAGGCTGCCCTGATGCACCAGGGCAGGTAATTCCTGTGACAGCTCCTCTTACTGTGTCTGGATCCCCATCCTGAGGGTGGATTCCCACCAAGCCACCTAAATCGCAAGCATCCACCCCGGCTCCACACCACCCTCGCCATCTTGCAGGGGACACGCACCCGTGGGCTCCCACCTTCCTGCTCCCCCAGCACTCACCCCAGGGCGTGGGGGTCCCAGCGGGTGGCAGGGGCAAGGGCCGTGGCCTGGCCTTGGTGGCGGTGGTGGCGATGCGTGCGGGACCCAGGTACTCCACGTAGGTGCCGGGGAAGTCTCCGCGCTCCTTGGTGCGCTCGTTGACACCGTGCAGCCAGCCCTGGGGGTTGCGCTCGTCCCCGTCCTTGTAGTTGGGGCTGCTGAGCAGCCCGGCCCTGCTGACCGTCAGCACGTCCCCGGGGCACAGCGCCAGGTCCTCCTCCCGGTCCTTCTGGTACTCGTAGAGAGCCCGGTACTGCAGCCCGTCCGAGGAGGCCATGGTGGCAGCGTGGTGTGGGTCACACTGCCCCAATCCAGCCGGGCATCGGGGGCTCGGGCTGCCCACACAGGGCAGGGGTGGCTGGGCTCGGGCAGTGCGGAGGGGTTGGGAGTGCTCCTCTCTCCCTGCACACGCAGAATGGAAATCTCAGTGTTGGAAGATGTCCGAGATGGAGAGCAGCTCCTGACCCTCCAACCCCAAAATTGCTGTGGAGCCACGCCAATGGCTGGGACTCATCAGGGCTGGCTCAGGTGTGGGTAAGGAGCTGTTTCTTCACCGGGGCAAATGGAGGGGAAAGAATGAGGCTAGGTGGGGTAGAGGGTACAAATGTGAGTCCTCTTCTCAGCCTGGCCTCATCCACACGGTGCTGGGGACCTCCCTCTCTCTGCTGGAGAGAAAGGCAGCGTGTTAGTGACCAAACCGCTGTCTTGACCTCAACCTCATGCTCTGTCCCCCCATCCCAGCCTCCCAACACCAGGGAGAGCCCAGCAGCTCGCTCAGCTCCTGCTTCCCAGGGAGCTCCCGCCAGCAGGGCTCGGGCCGCTGCACGCGAGGAAAGTACCGGCAAGAGTCTGGAAAGTAGGGCAAGAGATCACGCCATGGGTTTTTAAAATAGACATATGTGCTGAGAAACCTCCTGCTGCACGCAGCTCCCCTCCGGCAGCTCCAGCCTGGCATTGCTGCACGGAGCTGGCAGATGAAGATGTAGGATTTTCATGTGGGTTTGGTTTTTGTTATTCCCCCCCTTCCTTCTTTTTTTTTTTTTTTTTAATTTTTTTTTGATGCATTTTTATATATTCCTCCAAGAGTGACATCATCCCTAGGGGGAAAAGACGGTGCTGCTGCCGACCCGCTGCCCCCCAGCTTCCCGCAGGACCCCGTGGAAGAGGGATGGAGGGATGATGAGCAGCAGCTGTCTGTCTGTCCATCCATCCACCTGCCTCCCAGAGCCCCTCCCGCTGCCCCTCCAGCCTTACCGGGCGCGGTGGCTCCACCGGCGGGAGCGGAGAACGGGAGCGGAGCGGAGCCGGCTCCCGGCCCCGCCGAGCCGCGCTCCGGCGGTGATGTCAGCGTCCCTCCTCCTCCTCCTCCTCGGTAGCCGGGCGCCCCCCCCGCCGCGCTGCGGCGGGGG